TTCCGCAGTTTGTAGGGACTTTTCGGGGCTGCTGCCCCTTGCTCAGACAAAGAGTCCTTGCCAGATGAACCAGTTTCGAGCTTGCCGCTGGACCTGCTGTCTTCTTCTTTTTTCTCTTCCTCTGACCTTCCCAGCTGCTCCTTTAGAAATTCTTGAGCTTTAAGAACAGAGTCAATCTTAACCTTCTTCTCTTTGATCTTAAAATGCTACTCCTTCTGGAAATAGCCATTTGTATCCAATTGAATTTGTTTGGAGGAAGAGCACAAGTTCTTTGTATTTCTTTCTCTGTTGCCTTACTGCAAATGGAATATCCTTTAGCGTTCTGACCGCATTGTCCCCCACCTTCAAGGGTGTCACAGCCACTGCTTTCAGGACAGCATCCCTGATGTGCCCCTTCAATAAGAGCTTTTGATGAAATTCCATTATTCAGCCTCCTCTAAGGCAAGCATATTAAAATAAATATGCAGACTCATGGCTTAGTTGTCATCTGAGAGCCTGAGGGCCAAGGTTTGTATAGATCCGGTGTTTTGGGAATTCATTCAACCATGTCTTTAAACAACTGGGTTGGTTAGTCACATACCTTTGGTAAATTGTGTTATTGTGGGAATAAAGTGCTCCCTAGTGGAGGAAGCAGAGTAGTGCGAGGCTGTCAGCCAAGGTGGAGGCTTCTTCTAATGACCCAATGGGCTTTTTCAGTGGCGGCTCCATACTGGTGGAATGAGCTCTCGGAAGAGATCAGGGCCCTGCGGAACCTTTTACAGTTCCACGGGGCCTGTAAGACAGAGTTCTTCCGCCAGGCCAACTAAGGAACCACCACCATTACCAGCAACAACTGAAATTCATAGAGCCCTGGCCCTTGGCTTGCTATTGACAGCCTGCGCCTGCCGATTATATTTGGAGAAGGTCAGTGAGCTGAACATCTAGATAATCTATTGAATGCCCTCATATGGTACCACCATCTCTATCAAATTCAACCAACATTGCTAGCGCTTTATGATAGTGTACTGTTTTTTACAATGAACTGTTTTTAGATGTTTTTATGGTAATTTAATTGTTATTTATGTGTTTACTTTCATGTAAGCCACCCTGAGCCTGCCTTGGCGGGGAGGGTGGGGTATTAATTGGATAAATAAATAAATAGAGAGCCTGGGAGGACAGAATGGAGATTCTTGGTTTGCTTCCCACAATTAGAAAAAAACACCTTTGGATATTTATCTGCTATTCGGGCATATTCATTGCTTTATAGCTGTTGACCTTATAACCGTAGCTTATTATTTTGGACTTTGCATATCTTAAACATCATCACGTTACATGTTAATTTCCCTGTCTATAAATTTGAACCTTATGCACCATTCCAGTGTATTTGAAAAAGTGTGCCTTGCACACGAAAGCCATACCTTGAATAAACCTTTTTGGGTCTTAAAGATGCCCCACTGGACTCTAAATTTGTTCTTCTTTTTCCGAGATCCTAAGGAGTATCTCCCTTACTCAGGCCCAAGTAAAGTTGGACTTTCTCTTCTCACGAAAGCAGAATGTCCTGTGGCCACTAGAGGGAGTCCAAAGGAAAACAGCATGCAAGAGAACCGAAGCGTGTTTGCTGTGGGGAGCCCTGGCGTACACTAATCCTGCCCTTGACATCTGCAGCAAGGAAAGCCAGTGGAGGACTAAGGAAGGAGAGTCACTCTGTTTTCTATGCCTGTTAAGGCATACTGCCAAAGATATGCTTGGCCCAGTGGCATTGTGGGTTGTGGAGGCAAGGTGCCAAAGGGTAGAGAAGAGTGTTTGGCCTGCACATCGTCCCTTCAGGATTGCACCTAGATGCAGTGCGATGGAGGAATAAAGTGGATGCAGGGGTGGCCACATTCCCTGTGGCTCTGAATCTGGGCAGGCCGACACTGCGCACTAATGATGGTTGTCTTTTGGGGATTATACAACAGGTACAGGAAGAAAGCTCTGAAGTGGCACCCGGATAAAAACCCAGACAACAAAGAATATGCCGAGCAGAAGTTCAAGGAGATAGCAGAGGCCTATGAAGTGCTGTCAGACAGTAAGTGCACGGCTGCTTTATTCCACCCAACCATGTCCTCTGTATTTTGATTCCCTTGGGGTCCTGCCCCTGGATGTGGGGCCATTTCTGCAAGTTAAACAGATCTCTGAATCCAACAAACAGATGTTGTCTGCTTTCCACACAGTGACGATTCTCCATGTAGCTCTCGTTGCCAGTGGAACATCCACATGGCAGTTATTCCTGCACTTTCCTTGCCTCCTCCCTCTCATGGCTGTCATTCCTCCTCTCCCTTTAGAAAAATGACAATTGCTAGGTTGCCATTAAAAAAAAGCCCTCTGATGATGCAGGGGAAATGGTGGCCGTGGGATAGCATGGGGTTGAGGGAAGAAAAACGGCGCCAGCGGGAGTGACCTGCAAAAGTGCCCACCTTCCCATCCGTCCTGCCTGCAAATGCATTTGTACTGCAGTCTTTCCAAAAGATTATATCAAACCAGGTTTGGGAAAGGCTGGATCTAATCAGGGGACAACTGGGAAAGTGGACAATTAGGGGACAGTGTTGTGTGGATGCTCCAGAAAACCAGTTCCTGTTTGGATACCAAGCTAGAGCAAAACCTCTGAGTGGAAGTAGCCTGGGACTTCTTTATTGGTGGATTTCTTGACTGGTGTGGTTTAGGAGCTCAGACTCTGAAGGGCAATATCTGTTTTTTGTATTATAACAGCCTGCCGTTGGAGAAGAAGTTTAACATATTCCCTTAAGCTTAGGAGGGCAACTGAGTATTGGGACAGGCTGCCTAAGTAAAGCTGGGCTTCTTTTGAAAGATGCGGTGAATTAAACAAACTGTGTTAGACTAAACTCTCTCAGTTTATATTACAGATGGGGTTTTTAGGGTTGCTGTAATGATTTGGGAGTGAAAGTGAATTTTTGAGTACTCTCTGTAAATACCCTTTATGATTAACAAAAATAGTGTCCATTAGTAACTGGGAGAGGTGGCCAAACTGTGGCTTGGGAGCCCCTTGTGGCTCTTCCACACATATCATGTGGCTCCTGGCCAGGTGGCTGGGGAAGGGAAGGGGTGGCCTGCCTCCCCGTATGGTCTTCCCTCCCCCAGCCAGTGTTCCCTTCCCTGGGTAGGCTTGGGGGGGGGGGGGAGAAAGAAAGCAACTTTAAATGCATTCTCAAAGCCCCCCACTGAAGCCTACAAATATCATTAGACAAATAAATATCATTATCAATATCTGTTTTTACTCCCTTTACCAAAAACAAATTTGCATATTTTCCAATAGAAAACATGTGGGTGATATTCCTTCATGTCCTGTGGCTCTCAAACATCTGTCGTTTATTCTGTGTGGCTCTTCTGTTAAGCAGGCTTGGCCAGCCCTGCTCTAAGCCTCCATATGCACAGCACGAGTGTCACTCCATGGCAATGCTGAGGCTAAAGCCAGAGACCTCTTTTGCCAGGGAGCTGCCTAACCCTGTGGGCTTTCTGATTTCAGAGAACAAGCGTGAAGTCTATGACCATTATGGCAAAGAAGGACTCATGGGTGCTGGTAAGCTGCTTGGCCATAATTTGAACTACAGTGTGGTAAGGCAAATGCTGCCTGAATCAAAAGAAACAGCAATGTTGTGCAGGTTTTGTACAGCTGTGAAATGCACCAGGCTTCTGTATCAGCTGCTTTTTCATTAGCATCACAGGCGGTGAGTCACAGATTCATTCTCAGAACCAACTTGCAAGGGCTGGGTTGCTTAGGAGTGGAACACAGCTGAGCCCTCCGCCAGTCCCCACCACAAAGCCAAGGCAGAGAAGTGGTGCTTGTGGCCTGGCTTGGCCTCGCAGAGGCCAACGGAGAAGTCTGCATTTGGATAGCTGGAATCTCATTGCAGCCAAGAGAATTGGGTTTTGCTAGAGTCCTCATTGGCATTGTTGTTCTGTGTAAAATGGGTTTGACAAGCTGATCTGTGCTGCTCCTGGCCCTACTGATCATTAATCACAGCCTGCCACGTGTCTGCTGAGGCCTGCCAGAACAGCAGGGTGCTGTGCACAGCTGGCAGGGTCTGATGTAAGAAATCTTTGCTACCTGAAAGCCCATAGTCTCAGCTTTGGTAAACAGGCTACATTTTATTCTTTCTATTAAAAATGATTCATGTGAACATCTGGTCTCTGCCTCTTCCCCAGGTGGACCCAGTGGGTCCAGGGCTGGCCCAGGAATGCCTTCATACACCTTCACTTTCCGCAGTGCTCGTGATGTCTTCCGGGACTTCTTTGGGGGACAGGACCCTTTTGCTGACTTCCTTGCTGGTACGTGCAGGCTTTAAGCATGAAGCTGGATGTAATGCCAGGAGGTAACCCATAAAAGGAGAGAAGACCATATCTCTTGCCTCTTCAGCCGTGGTCATGAGGATAGTTGTTGAAACCCCAGAGGTGGGAACACAGCCACATCCGTGGAAGGGAGTGTAGACGCTACATAGCCCTGAGCGGCTCTAACATAGAAACTTTATTAACAATACTGCCACATGAGGAAAGGTTAAGGTGCTTAGGGCTCTTTAGCTTGGAGAAACGACGACTGAGGAGTGACATGATTGAGGTTTATAAGATTATGCATGGGAAAGAGCAGGTAGAGAAAGAGGTACTTTTCTCCCTTTCTCACAATACAAGAACTCGTGGGCACTCCATGAAATTGCTGAGCGGTCGGGTTAGAACGAATAAAAGGAAGTACTTCTTCACCCAAAGAGTGATTAACACTTGGAATTCACTGCCACAGGAAGTGGTGGCGGCTACAAGCATGGACGGCTTCAAAAGGGAATTAGATAAGCATATGGAGCAGAGGTCCATCAGTGGCTACTAGCCACAAGGTATAGATAGGGACTCTGGGGCAAGTGATGCTCTGTCATCTTGGTGCTTGGGGGGGGGGGTCAACAGTGGGAGGGCTTCTAATGTCCTGGCCCCACTGGTGGACCTCCTGATGGCACTGGTATTTCTGGCCACTGTGTGATACAGAGTGTTGGACTGGATGGGCCTTTGGCCTGATCCATCTTTGGCATCTCTTATGTTCTTATACCTTAAAGGCCAAGCAAAAATGATAACAATAAATTTTACAATCAACATACAACAAAGAATCATGGATGAAACCCAGCCCATCACTTTGAACTGCCCACAAAAAGAGCCAATGCATAAACCGTTGCAGGGAGAATGTGAACGTCTCACAAGTAACGTGGCTCCGGGCTCTATATGCAGCCGTTGAATAAATTATGCACATCTGTCATCACATTATGAGACAAGGATTCCGGATGTAACCTCATTTCTAGATCTTTATCAATCATGTCTGTTGTATCGGTCAATATACCATTTCACAAAAAGGACAACTTCAGATGATATCATGGACCCCTAAAGGGTTCACAGTCTGGTGTATGACAGTCCACATAAATGGGCTCCCAACTAAATAATATTAACAAAGGTAATAACTCAAATGTGACTGCTTTAGTTGGAGAATGCCTCAGCCTTTTTTGTGAAATGGTATATTGACTGATACGTGGCTCAAAAATGATGGTCACAGTCACAGAACAGACCGAAAAAAGAAGAAACTGTGAGGTAACTGCGCTAGAAAATATTTAAATAACTCACAAAATTTATACAAAAATGTGTACAAAAAATCTACATATATAAATACACAAGGCAATTGAAAATGGTGTGACGATGGTGTCCGGAATGATCCATCGTTTCGATACTATTCTTCTTCTGAAAGTGGATGAAAGCAGCGACTCTTGGTCTGTCATTTCAACAAGTAGGTATCAAAAATTTCATTAATATTCACCAATGTATCATAACTTAGTTGCAAGAAATTCTCTGAAAGAATGTTCCTAGGGCAAAGTGCTTGTATAATGCCTTGAAACAAGGTCATATCCAGAATCCTTGTCTGATAATCTGATGACAGATGTGCATAATTGATTCAACGGCTGCATATAGAGCCCAGAGCCGCATTACTTGTGAGACGTTCACATCATCCCTGCAACTGTTTATGCATTGATCTGTACTACGTGGCTCTTTTTGCAGGCAGTTCAAAGTGATGAGCCGGGTTTCATCCACGACTCTTTGTTGTATCCACGACTCTCTGTTGGAATGTTGATTGTAAAATTTATTGTTATCATTCTTGCTTGGTCTTTAAGACATTTGGTAGTATTGTTAATAAAGTTTCTGTGTTAGATCAGCTTAGGGCTACATAGCATTTATACTCCTTTCCACTGAAACCCCAAAGGCAGCACACTTGAGAGATACAACAAGAAGGTATTGCATAAACAGGAGCTACGAATGGAATTGCTGTTCAGTTGGGTCAGACAAACCAGTTTCCCCCCAGTTGTGACCAGAGTAGGGCCATATGTGAAGAGTGCAGTAGAATACCCCCAGTCTCTGATGATCTCGCACATAACGTACAACAGGCCCATAGCCAGGTTTTTTTTAATTTGTGAGGTCTTTAAATAAGTCGGGGGGCACCCCTGCACACCTCCACCTCTAAATCCCCCCCTCTGGAATCCTTTCCGGAGCTCAATGTTGGAATTCAGAAGCGATCCTGAGCTGCCGGAGCTTTCCTTGGGAGTGTGCAATTTCGGGATCACCTCCAAAACCCTGTAAAGGTATTCCCCGCACCCCAAATCCCCCTCTCTGTAGGTCAAAATGGAGTCTCCCTTTGGGAGTGCAAAGGGTTAAGCGTTTCCCATGGCAGGTGCAGCTTGCAGAGGGGGAGGCAAGTCAGCTCGAAGCACTCGCACGGCTATCCGGCTCACTAGCAGCCCGCAGGAACACTGAGGGCAAATTAGCAGTTGGCTGACTGCTTGACTGCTTGGCCCCGAGGGCCCCCCCCCAGCCCCATGACCGGCCGAGGCCGCCCAAGCGTCAGCGGGAGGGTGGGTGCTGCACGGCCCTGGTGCTGGATCTGATGGCTCCCATCCAGAGTGGGGTCCCCGCTGAGGAAGCGCCTGCGCAGTTCTTCGGCAAGCCCAGCCCAGCAGTGGGCGCCGTGGGCGCTGAAGAGGGCAGGGACGAGCCCACGGAGGTGCCAGCCCTGCTGCCCTGTCGTGCAGGGAATTTGTGCTGCGTGTGTCCGGAACAGATAAAAGTGCCAGCAATAGAAAGCAATACAGTCCACACTGTCTAGTGCTAACTATATACAGTTTATTTACAATATTTATATTATTCTGGTATACACCGACAAAGTGCTTCACCAGACAAGTCATTCAGGAGAAGGGAACAGTAATACAGCATATGTACACTTATGTACATTTAACAGCCAATGTACATTTAACAGGGCCTGCTGAGTCATTCCTGGTAAGCATTCTAGCTCCTGCCAGAACCGGTCTGAGCCAGTTACAGTGGCTGTCATTCTTGTCAGTCTAGATCACTAAGATCACTAAGATGTCTTACTGGCATTGCATGCCAACATGCCCTTCAGTGTGGAGGCATCCATGGCCGACCACGGGAAGCCCGGCAGTGGCTGGGAGTGAGATGGCCTGGCTGGCAGGGCCGACCCGGAAGGCCGCTCCGTCCAGCTGAGGATCCCCGCCGCCACCTCCTCGGTGCCAGAGAAGCCAGCCTCGCTGCTGGCCCTCGCCAGCCATTTTGCCATTGGAGGCTTAGTGAAGCTGTCCAAAGAGGCACGGGTCAAAGGTGAAAGCTCGGAGAAGGGGAGGGGGGTCCTCCAGGGCCCAGGGAGTCATGGGGCCTTGGCAGGAAGTCGGGGGCCAGGCCCCACCGTAGCTCTGGGCCTGCCTTCCAGAAAGTTCTGTGAAGAACGTGCTACTGTCCAAGTTTGGGTTTGCCAGATCAGGTGGCATTTTCTGATTTATTTTCCATGTATTCGCCTCATCCTTAGGAAGCCTGGTCTTACATTTTGGACAGTTCCCAATCCAGGCACAAGTGAGGCTGAAGCCTGCTTGGCTTGGTTACTATAACAGCATGATATTATTTGAGCCTGCTGAATCCTATTGCATGCTGAAGCCAATCATTCACAATCATTCCAGGAAGGAGAGGATGATAAAAACTAAATCAAGTAGGTGAAGGCTAAAATCCACAGTGGGAGGAAACAAGTGTTAAGTCCCTCCTTTTGGATCAGGTGCAGACTCCAGATCTCTTCCAGCAGACAGATTAGTTGTAGGTAAGGTGTGGCCATTGGCCTTTGCACAGAGCGTTGCTTCTGAAACCACTTGTCTCATGCAGCCACATTAAGGAAGTGCCTCCCTCTGCATGATGGAGCTGGAACTGCCATGAGGCTAATCAGTTCCAGTGCTGCAAATGGGTGGTTTTCTGTACTGGGGAGACTGGAGGCTCATACAGGGAGACTGAGAGATGTAGCACAGATCGTTGAGAATCCCTGGTGGTATTCACTGCCTACACACCTGCCACTAGCCCAGTTCCCCCAAGGCAGCATCCATAAAGCAGAGTTCTGGGTTGATACGTCAGGAGAGGGGGGGGGAAGGACAAACATGCACACACTGCCCTGGAGTCCTTGGTGCTGGTAACGTCTTGATGTGTTTCCAGATGATATGTCCCCGTTCTCAGACATGCATGGAAGTGGACCTCGACATCCTGGAGCAGGGTCATTCTTCTCATCCTTTGCAGCAACACCAGGTAAGAAAGAGAAAGTGCTGGAAACATTTCCTCTTCATCTTTAACTCACGGTGGCCTCCACCTTCAGCCCTTGGTTCCAAGTTCCACTGACCCTGTCTCGTGCTTTTGTCTGTTGTTTCATTCTTTCTTTACAACAGATCCTAGTGACCAGTTTATCAGAATCCCACCCACAGACTTTCAAATAAATGATTGCTCTCCAGTGTTTCATTTCCTGTGTTGCTTTTTGGTCCTGTTTATACTGGCCCAGTACTACCTGTGTCCTCCCTTGCAAATCATTCTGGTGCTGTATGTTGCAGAATTCTTTCCTTCTGGTCTTGGGCCCGGTATCAATATGGGAATGGGCTTCCGTTCCATCTCTACATCCACTAAGTTCATCAACGGCAAGCGCATCACTACCAAAAGGTAAGTTTAACACATCCTTTCTTACCTGCTATTTACCTACATATGGTTTTGTTTCATGCCATCTTTTGCTAGTTTGTAGTACAGTTTTTTGGGTCGCTTCTCCAAAACCGAGCTCTCCTCACCTGCTTACTTTTGTACTCCTGTATCACTGAAATATATAGCTAATTCCCTTCCAACAGCAGTGGGTTTCTGCTCTTCCTGCATAGTAGGCAGCAAGGAGAAATATAGAAGCTGTCTTAGAATCAATCTGACTCACACCAGTGGTCCATCTAGCCTAAAAGTGTCGAACTCATTTGTTACAAGGGCTGGATCCGACATAAATATAACTTTGTTGGGCCGGGCCATGCGTGCTATAAAATGTAACACAAGGTACCAGAGATATAAACTTTATAATGTTGATTTCAGATGCCTAATGGCAATAGCAGACATGATTGGATTAGGTATGATATGCAGAGGGGAAGTAGGTGTGGAGATATTGGTAATGAGACAGGAAACCTGTCAGCCTCTTGAACAAAGTTACTCTCAACAACACTCACTGAAGGTGATTTATTGAAGAATACAGATGTTCCAGCTAAGAACGTCGTGAAAATCCTCAATTATACCTGGTTCAAATGTAGTTCCCTCCAATCACACTGACCCTTCATTCCCCCTGAGCTAGCGTGCCTCTAATCCCACCCCCACCTGCAAATCATCTGTTTGTTATCTCAGCTAAGGCACTAAGCAGGGAGACACAGAGAGACAGACCCAGGCCATCTGGGCGGTATCCCTGGGAAAGGAGGGTATCGTCAGGAAGTTACATGAGACGCATTGCCCTGCAATAAAGCCATCCTCACTCGCACACGTTCACACTCCCCCCTCCCCTGGAATTTCCCCCAATACATGGCAAAGGAGTCAGCGAGGTTGACAAAACCTAGGTCTCAGTTCCATCCAGGAGGATTCAGCCCAGGAGAATGCAAAGAATAAATGGACATATGTCTGACATTGGAAACCACAACACTCAGTTGCTGACCTAAGAGGAGTAGTGCTCTTACAAAGGAATTTCAAAGGGAGATTAGAAAGAGAGACTGCTGCATTGAGACCTAGTTTTCCTGTCTTGTTACCAATGTGTGCTATTATCATTTGGCATCTGAAATCACTCCACTCTCCAAGATATAAGGACCAATCCAAGTGTTCTTATTCCTAATCAGGGTTTGGGTTTTTTTGAAAGAAAATAAATCCAGATAGGACAGAGAAATCCAATCATTTAAAGAAGAAAAAACAACTTTTCAGAATAAGCCAGAATAATTTCCTCAGTGTACATTGTGCTTGTCAGAGGGAGGGGGGAGGGAGGCAGGAAACAGGAAGCAAAGAGCCACTGAGAGAGCTGGGAAAAAGCAAGCTAGGGTGCAGCTGCAGCAGCAGACCTGGGAAAGGAAGCAGAAGAAGGAAGCTGCCTGGGGGGGCCTGTTTTGAGCCCTGTGCGGGGCTGGACTCGGCCCACGGGCTGCACGTTTGACACCCCTGATCTAGCCCAACATCGGTCTGTTCTAGCTGCAGTTTTCTAGGGTTCCATAAGGAGATCTCTTCCCAAGCTCTGATACTGAAGACCCTTTAACTGGAGGTACCAGGGATAAATCCTTGGTGGCCTTCATGCTCTCAAAACTGATTTTGAAGTGGTGAGGCACCAGGTTTAATCAATAGATGGACCATCCTCTCTCGGTTTGTTCCTTCTCCATTGCTTCCATGGCCTTGTTTTCTTCCAGCAGTCTTTCTGCCTTGCGGCTGGCTGCTCCCCATCGATCCAGCTCTCTCGCAAATGGTTTTTCCATCCCTTTCTGGTGTCACTGGGGTCAGCACAGCAGTGTTTCTCACAGGATGTCTTCCGTTGCCTGTTGCCCCCGATCTCTTTCACTGGGGAATGCTGGGAACCTTGCGTGCAGTTTTTTTTTAACAGAGAGCTTGCGCTTCATGCAGGCCATCTAGGGAGTGGGAGAGTGGTGTGACATTGGCACGGGCGTGGTCTCTGACCCCCTCCTAAAGCCACACAGACGTGGAAATTTAAGGGCAAAGAAGCATCTCTTTCTGAACTTCCTTCTTTGCAAGTCACGTCAGCATGATGGGGGCAGTAAGGGTGCCGTCACCCCCACAAAGGCAGTGTGGATCGGGGTGTGTGTGTGTCCCCTGCTAGGGACATTGTCTACTCAGGTCTTGGCTGGTGAGGGAGGAAGTCCTTCCCAGATGCTCAATTTCCCTCGATTAGGGCCTGCCAGAAAGTGTGTGACTTTGTGCTCGTCTCCATTCCACCCAAGAGGAGAGGGTTGCTTGGAAACACCAGAGTGGGGGTATGAAGAGGTTAATAAACCCATTATAAGTGAAGTGGGGTCATAGTGCAAGTCAGCACTGAGAAAAGGTAGGGTGTGGGTTTGTATGGTTTCGGCATTCTTCCCAAAACTCTTCTTTTGCTCCTTATATTGTCAACAGGATCATTGAAAATGGGCAGGAGAGGTTGGAAGTGGAAGAAAATGGGGAGCTGAAATCTGTCCATGTTAATGGTGAGTAGCTAGATGGGGAGAGGTGTCCCCAGCTTCTTGGGCAAAGTATATTCATCATTGCATTGCTTCCTTCAACCTGACATCAGAAATCTGAGTTTCCTTGGGTGCCTGGTGTCTTCTTCATGGTTTCTCCTGTCCTATCTCCCAGGAAAGAGCATAAAATATCCTTGTCAATACAGGATTTGTTCTTAGAGTGACATTTAATCTATATTTATGGTGAGAGAAAGGTGTGAGAATATGCTGTTTCCATCAAATGTTGAATTGGTAGATGTCTGCAGATCAAGTGTCAAATATTTGGGTCTGAAATGATCTGCCCCGTGATTCTGTGGCCTCTTTCAAAACGAGGGCTGGCTAAAGAGGAGGAGTTTCAGGCTTTTGGTGGAACAGTCTAGATTTAAAAGGATGATGATTTAGGACCTAACTTACACCATTCTGTTTTACGCATGTCTACCATAAAGACTTTTAGTCAGATGTGTAACACCCACTGAGAACTTAATTCTCAAGTAGGTAGGCCTCTGCTTTGTATCTGGACCATGGCTAGATGGGCCAAGGGGTAAATATTGCCCCCCCCCGGGTTGGGAAAATGAAGGGGGGAAATGAATGGCCTGAAGGGGGACACACGCTATGCCCCCAGTCTGAATCGGAGCCCTGTCAGCCCCGGAGAATTGAGTTCCCAGCAGGGAACTTGTAGCTGATGTCCATAAAACATAAGGTCTAGTTAGGCCCTTAGTAGACATAGCTGGGGATTTAGGTTGCCAATGTCCGGGTGGGACTGAACTTTAGAATGAAAGGATTAGCTCCCCTGGGGGAAGGGGCACCTCTGGAAGGTGGATCCATGCTGAGTTCCCTCCCCAAACTCTGCCCTCCCTAGGTATTGCTCCCTTATCTCCCGGAATTTCCCAAGCTAGAGTTGGCAACCCTACCAGTGGGAACTGAAGAGTGGTGGAGAGCGATGGGAGCAGGGCTGTGACATGGTGGAGTATTGGGGGGGGGGGGAATTTAGACCTGGAAGCTTTCTGGATGGGCTCCTATCTGTGGCTACATTCCCAGCACCCGATACTCCAGTAAAGCATGGAGCCTATTGGAGAAGGGAGATTGTCTAGGGAGGTCTGACTGAGGCCGTAGTCACAGGGGACAATTTGTGGAGTTAAAAACAGTGGTGGGAGAGGCTGCTGGGGTCGAGGGCTTCCAAAATACTGTTTGTTCCTCTGCCATGTCTTGTAGGGGTTCCAGACGATTTGGCGCTAGGCTTGGAGTTGAGCCGGCGGGAGCAGCACGCTCTCCAGAACCGCAAGTCTTCACCGCCTCCTCCGCAGACACCGGCTCCGCCCCCGCCTCACAGCTCGTCCCCTGTGATCTTGTACACGGACAGTGAGGAGGACGACGAGGACCTGCAGCTGGCCATGGCCTACAGCCTGTCCGAAATGGAGGCCAAGGGCCAGCACAGAGCAGGTGCGAACAGTCCTAGGAAAAAGCCCCCAGACAAAGCCCCGTTGGCACAAGGGAGTCCCGCCACAGAGAGACAGGCGGGAGGAGGGCCGTCCAAAAGCTCGGGGGCTGTGGGAGGGAGTGGGCGGGGGAAAGACTCTTCCCCCAAGAAGAAGAAGAAGAAGAAGGAGGATGCACGCTGCCGCCTTCTGTGAGCCAGCCAGGACCCTGAGTGCGCCAGGCGGTGGCAGCGGAGGAGAAGCAGAGTCTTGGAGGACTGGTGGGATCAGCCAATTGCAGGGTTCCCCAGAGGCCCATCCAGTCCAGGAGGTGGCGCTGCTGAGTAAAGGGCAGGAGCAGAGTCTGTAATTGTGTGTGTGTGTGTGATTGCCATGGAGAGGCCTCAGCCATGCAGCTCTTGCACTGAAGGGCCTGGCACCTCGTGCAGGCTCAGACTGCTGCGTGGTCTTCCTTGCTGTTTTATCGCACGGCTTGGCTGCATGGCTCTTTCTTTCCTCCGTATTGAATAGACTCACCTTGGGGGCTTGCTTTTGGCTACCTCTGCTTGCTTGCTTTCCAAGCTGAGCCTTGGGCATTATGGGAAGAGGAAGTGCTGCTTCTGCCCAGGATCTTGCCTCAAAACAAGGCTTTTTCATGACTTTTGTGAGGTTGGTGGCCATCTGGGGTTCTGTGTCCTCCTTTTGTGCTGGTGCAGACAAGAAATAGGTGCCTTTTCTCCAGTTGACTTGAGCTCCCTTCCCCTTAGACCCGGCACAGAGATTTTATGCCTCAGCAACTGCCACAAGAGTGGGAGCGGGGGCGGCCTCACACACAGGACTTCCTTGTGTCAAGGGCAGTAGCACAAACTGGCCTTTCAGCATATTGGACCATCCATCCAGTATACAGTAGCTAGGAGCAGACCAAGGTGCCGAGGGTGTAAAAGTACACTCAATCCAAAGACAATATTCCATTGCCTGTTGGTTAGGCTGCAATTCAGGCCTCTTTTAGTGGATACCTGAGGCATTAAGGTTCACAAAGTAAGCCTTCACATGCGAATATCCTGGGCAAAAAAGTGAGGTGGCAAACCAGAAAGTTCTTCATACTTGAACAGCTTCATTTGGCATTATTTACCACAAGGGGTGCCAGTGTTGTTTGAGAAGCACTTCCTGTTCCCAGATGAATGGGGTGGGGGGAGAGATCAGCTTCCTGAGTCTTGGCCCTGTCACTCAGATGTTGGCTTTCAAATGGGAACAGGAAGTTAGGATTCTGCGTTCCTCTTCTCTGCCTTTTGTCTCTATGGTTTACCATGTGTACGGCACCTTCCTTTGCAGGAATCGGTCCGTTATCGCCTACCCTAAATTCTGTTTGTTGGTCTCTTGCCTCACTTGCTTACACTGCACTTCCCACATAATGCTGTAGCTTCCCGTCTCCCATTCTCCCTCTTGCGTGCCCCCCGCCAACCTGCCGGAAAGGGTGTGGTGGGTTTGCAGTCTCCGGATCTTCCTTTCCCTCTTGGTCCCCCCTCGTGGCAGGCCCTGGGTAAGGCTTCGGTAGATGCTTGATGTAGGAATGTAACTTGTTGGTGCCCTCTCTCTCTCTCTCTGCTGCCGCCGCCGCCGCCACTTGTCTGCTCACCTGCCCATCCGTCCCTCCCTCCCGTGCTTCCCATGCCACAGACCCTGACGGACAGGCATATTCTGTCTGATGCCCCTCCATGCTGCCTCCCTGCAGGTAACCCTCAATCGTTGATTTTCCCTGTTTGGTTGGAGTGGCAACATTCTTCACGGCTGTGTGTATTCTGTACATCCCTAGGGCTGCCTTGTTCAGGGACCGTTCTCATTTGGGCTGATCCCCCCACCCCCCACCCCGTAGCTGAAAACTCGCTTCCATTCTCCCCTGTCGCTTCTTCCTTGCTCCCGAAATATTCAGATAATTTGAGAAAACTTCCATTGCAGAACTAGGAAAAATCTACTTACAATATATGTAGACATACTTACTGTGCATCATTCTGATTATTAGCCCCAGGTTTTGTGTTTGCAGAATTTGAATCTGGGTTCAAGGGGGTGTAGAATATACACAGCCCAGGTGACTTTGATGGTGGGAAGGGACCTGCCCTTTGGGCTCCTGTATTACCCTGTAGACTTGATGCCTCTTCCATAGTTTTTCTCAGAGAAATGCCTGTATAGGATACCTTGTTGAAGGGGGAGGGGAAGAGTCAGTCAGCTAGCTAATACTACCATTTCTTACCGATGATTTTCATGGCTCAGTGAGCAGGCTGAAAAGGGGTTATTGTGATACATGTCAGGACAGGTGACTGCTTCAGGGGCCACTCTGCCCCCTAATTTAGCAATCCATTGCTTGACTTCACGTGTGTATAAATATCTTGTCCTGTTTGAGGGCCAAGCTATGGTCCAGCTGCCAAAGCCAGCCTTGAGCAGTGCCCTCAACAAATGCAAGCTACTCTGAGATCCTTGGAGGAATAACTTGTATACACAACAGATAATTTGGGGAGTGATGGCAAGTGTGCCTTAGTGCTGTGTCCCATTTGAGGCTTCACTTCTCTGCAAGCACAACTCTTGCCGATCCATGCCCCATAAAAATAGGGGGGAAATTCTGAACCAACTAAGCAGAAACCTCCAAAGGAAGTTTAGAAAACTTATTGAGAGCCAAAAGTTAAAAACATAAATATACAAAAGAGTGTTTATTACAAAGACATATAAAAACCTTGTAGGGGCCCAAATAAAGCCTCATAAAATGTTCTTCAGAGGTCAAATAGTACCAAATAACAACAAGCAACAGAGTCCCTGTAACACATTTAAGGCAATTAACAATAAAAAGGACCAAAATTGGAATGTTCCAATATGGAATTGAATGACAGATATACAACTACTTCTGACACAAGGTCAGATATGTGTGTGGCCCCAAACAGAAACCTTTTTGTGTGTCCTTCAATTCCGAAGAAGGCTCTTGTGAGCTGAAATGCGGCAGGTCATACACTGTCTTTTTCTGTGTATTTGAACATTTTATGAGGCTTTATTTGGGCCCCTACAAGGTTTTTATATGTCTTTGTAATAAACACTCTTTTGTACACTTATGTTTTTAGCTTTTGACCCTCAATACATTTTCTATACGTGCCCTATACCTGTTTCTTTGGCTTTCGGATGCGCCTCAATAAAAAAGCAAAAGGAGCCGTTTGCAGCAGAGGCTTTTGGCATGAAGGGTTAGGTGTCGCCTTGAATCCTGCTGTGGTGGCATGAGAGGGAAGGCTGCCAGTCACCAGAGCGACTTCCCAGCACCGGCTCTACCTGTGCACATCCCCTTACTTTGCATGTTCTCGTGCACCACTTCACGAACCGTGGCTGCTTCGTGCCTGATGATTTTTAAGCCTGGGCCTCCGTTGCAGTTGGGCCTCAGTGGTAAAAACCCTCCCCTTTTCAGTACTGCAAGTGGCACTTGGAGGTGGGTGGTTCCTGCTCAGTGGCCCCAGTACTCTGGGGAAGGGGCCACAGCCCAGGCCCTGCTTGCTGTCACACACTTTTCACGGCTGTCTGATTCACACGGTGTCTGTGTTTCTTCCCCTCCCACTCACCCCCCGTCCCCATTTCCTTGCTTGTTTCCCCAGGTGTGTTCTGAGTCTGGAAGAGCTGTGGGGATGGCCTCTCTAGACTTCATGCTCACAGAAGGCTGCTCAAGCCTGGACTTCGCTTTCCCGTTCCCTCCCTGAGCCCTGCCCTGGGGATTGACAGGCTCCACCTGCGTGACTTCCTCCCCCTTAGTTCTCTCTGCTACGGGTCATTTAGCAGCCAGTCACTCCGGAGGGTCAGGCTGAGCACAGCCTCCGGTCTGTGCGGGTAGCTCTGCTGCGGCTCCTGATTTCACACCACTCAAGGCATCCTCCAGGCCACCTTTTCCACTACCCTCTTCCAAGAGAGGAGCCTGGGGCCAGGCTGAAGAACAAGGACCTGGCTACAAGGCTGGACAAATGTGAAGCAGTCACAGGGGGGATAGTGGGCACAGAAGGGAGGCACAGAACCACAGGGGGGATAGTGGGCACAGAAGGGAAGCCCCTGACCAAGCAGGGCTGCGTGCTGGTCAATCCTCAGTGTCCTCTTTGGCTCTCAGAGGGATTGAGTGTGTGCAGTGCTGGACTGTGTATGTTTCTATAGGTGTGGGGCTGGGGGTGTTAGATAAAGGGAAAGATGGGCTTCTGTCCCATCGGCACGAGGCTCAAATGGCCGTATGCTCCTATAGCCAAGGGCTATAAACCAGGCTCTCCCTCCCTCCATGCAGCAGGGAATTTTTCTAAGTAGGCATTGCAAAATGAGAGAGAAAGGATGGCATTAGTCTCTTCCCACAGACGTGTCCTTTCTTCCCTTTGGAGGCAAGCCCTTCCCTGAAAGTAACAGGGTTCAATTAATACAAGCCTGCTCTACAAATTTGTAATTCTGGGGTGGGCAGAAGAGGGAGGGGGGACTGGTCTCTTTTTTAACTGAAGTGCTTGCTCAGTGTAGAAAGGAAGATGTTGTCAATACACTTCTTTACAAGTAATGCTGGTTTTGGTTTCTACGTAGGAGTGAAGAGTTTCAGCTTTATTAAAAAGCACACACACCACTGGTGTAGCAAACTGCTTAAGGAAACTGATGTGTCTCTCATAGTCCCCTTTTCCGTGTGCATCCTGAAAAGTATCTCAGTAGGAGAAATCTTCTCTGAATCGGTCTAATATGTATGGCATCCGAGGAGCCTCAAAGGGCGAGGTGGAGGGGGGCTGGCTCTCAAAGGACAGGAGGTGGGCATTTCCAGAGGTCATTTCCTTTTACATGGCTTACATACAGCTAGTTAAAGGAATAGCTCCACCTAAAAAGAGGCCAGAAGATTTCCTTTGTTTTGCTCTGTGTTGAAATTCCAGTAGGCAGCAACCCTAAACTGGGCTCGATTGCCCAGATGAATAGTTTTGTTCCTGCACCTACCAAAGGCCCATTGTCTAGTGAGGTGTTTTTCTTGACTCTGAGTGAGAAATACAGTTCTAATGTTTGAGTACTCGCATTACCTGGAGCCATTCTTAACTGGAAAGTACAGAAAGGCTCAAGGGTCTAGGGCAATCCCCCTTTTGTTGAGTCCTATTTGCATCTCTTTCTAGAAAGAACTCATCTGAATAAGCAGGTGAATTGTACTATTTTATCCCACAGAGACTAGCCTCAGCCTGCCAGTGAGCTTATGGCTGAATAAGGTTTGAACTCAAGTTTTTCCAGGTCCAATAGTTCCCAACCTTTCTGGCCCTGTGGGCACATCTGGAATTCTGACACAGCATGGCGGGTGCAGCAACAAAATGGCTGCCATGGCTTCACTTGAGTAAACACACTGCAGCTGCTTGTGCTGTGGTGGCAGCTGCTGCGGGAGAAGCATTTTTTAAAATCTGCACAGCCAATCAGAAGCCTTGCTGGGCAAAAGCCGTAACTGGCCCCGCCCACTTCCTGAAAACACTGGCTGGGCACCAGAAAAGGTGTCAGGGAGTGCCTTTGTGCCCACGGGCACCACGCTGGAGACCCCTGTTCTAGCCTAGGCTTGCCAAACCGCGGCGGGGGATCCATGCGTCGTCGCAGAGTCGCTGCCGCGGGAGGACAGCGATCCGCACTGTACCGGCGTAGCGTCACATCCTGGCAACGCCGGTGCAGCGCAGATTGCTGTCCCCCCGCGGCAGCGATCCTGCGACGACGCATGGACCCCCCGCCGCAGTTTGGCAAGCCTATTCTAGCCCCATGCCTAATAAACACCTTGGCCCTTCCCCCACCTACATAAACAGTGTGAGCAGGCCGGGCTGCAGCTGCACAAACGCGACACAAAACCTTTATTCACATCAAATACAAAAATTAGACTTTCTAGAAATGTCTCTTGATGTAAGTAACACGAGGGGAGGGGGAGGAAGGACACAATGGGGAGTAGCTGTGGTGCCCCCCTTCCCCTACGGCGCCCCCATTCTACGCTTTCGGTACGGGAGAGAAGTGCTGCGGCTTGGCTTGGCTCCAAGCTGAAGAAAACAAGGGGGAGGTTGGCAATGGAGAGTGACGTTGGTAGAAGCAGCATCTCCCACCACCTGGTTGTGGCACACGCTCAGAAGCCCCCTTGGACTGCCTAGAGGGCCAGGTGCTGTGGGGAAATAATAAAAGGGGAATAAGGCTGGCAGGGGCAGCCAACATTCTTCAGCAGGCATC